GGGTAAGGAGGTTATATGTAACATTTCTTCAAAGTACCACCAGTCTAGAGCAAAGAAACAGATTCTTAAAGCAGGAATGGGCATCCATAAGCACAGTGACAATATAATGTCATTCTTAACTCTAAAGGGTCACATTCTGTGTGTAAGCAATGACCCTCTCTTGGGGATCCCTCTCCGCAGCTAAAAATGGTATCTGTACCGGAATGTGTGTTGGGAATGTCCTTGACGATGGATAAGATTCTTTTGCCACAAATCACTTATTTCCCTGGTCGTATGAATAATGAGATTCCTGTAGAGCAAGCATTTATTGAATGGTGCATAGACTTGAGGGAAGTGGCTGCTGCATAAAGCCCTGTTGGGAATATGTGTCTGCACAACATCATTTAGGAAGAATTAAATGTGAGGAGGGAACAGAAAAAAGTGACACAAATGATTTAGGGGGCTGGAGTCCCAAAGAAGCTCAAACTTAAGGCGCAGACTGATTCATAGCTCCCTAAAATTTTGCTAAAGGCAAGGCAGGCTTCTGACAATAGTTAGCTGACTCCTAGTCTAGCAGGAAGTATAAGGTCCAGGGTCCAAGCAGTACAGCAAGACATTCAAGCCTCAACAAAGGCATTGCCACTTACGATAGACAGCCATCAGGCCAGTGTGTCAATTGTGTGCCACTAACTTAGGTTCAGAGGACTTTCTAGATGAGCATGAGTGGCTCAAACAAAGGAAAGGCTTGTTTGCCCAGTGACTGCCCCATCCCTGGCAGTGTTCAGAGCCAGGTTGGACAGGGCTTTGAGCAGCCTGGCCTAGTGGAAGGTGTCCATACCTGTGGCAGGGGGATTGGAACTGATTAATCTTTCCAACCCTAACCTAACCTTTCGAACCCTAACCATCCTATGACTAAAGAATTGCTGTGTGACCCTGAGGTTTCTGGGTCTGACTGGATGATCTACTGCCTTGAAGCAATTTGTTTAGCTGTTTTTAGAGTGTATACAAGGAACACCTGGGTGCAGTCAGGGTTTGGAGCCTTGCCTTGCGCTGTAAGTGGGGGCAGTAGCTCTGCTATTTGCCCTCACCCTCAGAAGTGCCATTCAAAAACTGGATGTGTTTTTAATTCTCTCATAGAAGGAATGTTTTTCTGCCTCCATTATGGAAGAAGCCAGGAAATGTCTGACTGATCTGCAATGGGATAGGAATCAGTTACCAAATTCTTCATCTGAACAGCAGTGAAAAGCTAGTTTGTTCCTGTACTGAGCCCAGTTCTTGTCCAAGGTGCTCTCAAGCCTCTGTTTTCTTCCTCATACATGTGCAAGCAATTTCTCTCCCATTTCTGGTTTCTTTTGGAAATAAACCTTTTGAGCCTCTGTCAAATGGCTGTAAAGGGGTGCTGCTCTTTGCTTGTTGAGAAGCTGTGTACTGCTTGGGAGGTTGATTCTGACATTGCCAGTGAGATGCTGAAGAAACCAAACACCAAACAGTGGCTTCATTTTCCCTCAGGAAGTTAAGAGGCAGAGTTGTCTGTCACTAACTACATTTTTAATGTTTTCATATTGTAATGAACTGGTGTTCATCATACAACTGGATGAGAGCAGGCATGTATTCATGTGGCCAGTGGTTAGTATGTCAGGTGCTGTTTGGTTTCACACATTCTAATGGCAGGGGGGATAGAGGAGCTGCTTCTACACCTGTAGTTTGGGCAGTGGTGGTAGAGCAGTTTCTGTTGGGTTTGTCCCTCATGCATCAATCCTTGAGTTGAGGCACAATTGAAATGACATATCTCTCCTTGCTGAAAAAAAGGAGTGGTGTGCTCCTGCATGATCAGATGTTAAGGTGGAATGTGTTGGGAGATCTCAAAGGATGTGTAGGTTTTATTTTTCTGGGTTCCTATTTTGTAACTTAAAATGTTCTGCTATTGAACAGGCATATGTGAATTTGAGGTGTCAAACTCCGATCTGTCATGTGCCTTTCCAGCAGTAATGAGTGTTCTGTAGCTGCAGCTTGGCTAGGAATCGAGCCTATATTGTATGTAGAATTGGTAATGTATTTTCTCTGACACAATACTTAGCTTTAGAAGATTGAAAGCCAAAATTAACTCAATAACTGAAGATTACTGTGCAGTAAACAGGTATCACTTTTACACAGTTACTCTTTTGATTATAACAGCGTTTAAAAACCTTGGTACTATGCAAGTAGGATTAGAATAAGATTGAATTTCAGGTAGGAGATTTAAATGGGATTTAGAAACAAAACCTCAAACCTAAGATTATTGGAAAAAATTACAGTAAAAACCTGAATTCTCAAGATTTCTTTTAGAAAGTGCTTTGGAACAGTTGACACTACAGAGTTTGTATTTACACGTGGTGTTTAGAAATAGCGGTGGACAGCTATTGCCTTTAAATTTTTTTCAATGCTATACCAGTGCTATGTAACTCATGAAAAGCACACCATTTTCTTTATTTTATCCCAGCCTTTAGGCTGCAATCTCTAACTGTAGGCCACTGTTGTTAAGACACCTTGTTTTAGTTTAAATATGCTGAGACCTAGTCAGGTATTGTGATGAAAGGTAGCCGTCTCAACATGAAGACATTCAGGAAAGCCAACTGCAGTTATTTTTGAGTTTTCTGAAGTGTTTTTTCTTCATGGGTAGTTGTCTGACTCTTAGGATAAGGGCTGAGATTCAGCTGCTGCTGTTATCTGTGATACGGAAGTCGTCTCGTGCCATGGTAGAACATTGGGTTGTTGTGAAAGTGCTGTCAATATGAGATATAGGGGAGGTCATGGGATCCCAGTCCAAGGAAGATCAGCATTCCTTAGCTTAGTTATTTACAAAATTAATGTGCTTTTATAGTTGTAACGTGCTTGGCTTGCATAAATGAGTGTATGTAATTGGTAGATGAGATGCAGCTCGTTGAGATGAACTGCATAACATTCTTTTAGTTAACACATCTATCCTAAATTTATGTCAATACGTTTTTGGACTCCTTTGCCATGTACTTTGTTATTTTCTGCAGATTTGGCTGAAGAACTATTAAGTCACCAACACTTGAATTTTTAAATGCTGGGTACACTAGATTTTTTTTTTTCTATAACGTAACATGGAATGGTCTTGCCTTACTAATTCCAAACTCTATCCTGGAATCTGGCTTCATCTTGTACAATTAATGCTCAGATAGAAATTACATTCCCAATAGCTCCTTGTGTTTTCCTTGTGGGAATGCAATAATGTGTGTGTGATCAGCAAAGATAAACACCGATCACAGAAACCCAAGCAGTTCCATCACACTTGCTTTGAATGTACAATTGATTAAATTGAGCAATAAGAAATATTTTGCAACTTCATTATTGCTAATTATATCCATAGTGCTTTTGAATAATTTGCAATCAGTTTTGTGATGTGTTGAGAGAATAAAAATGAAAGTATGCAGATAGCAGTGACAGTGACTTTAGTAACATGTCTACATGAGACTATTGTTGATTTTGGCTGCTAAAAGTCAATTTGCTTGAGGCAAAATGATTGATTTGCACTTCAGTAAAACTCGAGATAAACACGTGGTGCTGTGTTATAATTGCTCTTAGATCATGTTTTATGTGATACTCAAAGCCTTTTAAAAAGACTGTTGTTAAGTCTCTGAACAAACTCTGCTACCTTAGGGAATCGAAGCCAGCTGTCAGCAAGGGGGAATGACTGGTTTAGCTCTGAAGGATCCCTAATAAAGGGAACGGTACAAACACCCCATCACTCTTCTGTGTGGAGAGGACTGGAATGGGAAATCAGCTGCAATGAAGTTGTTTGGAAAAAGCGAGAATGGACAGAATTCAATTTACAAGTAAAATGAAAAGGGAGTTTCTAAAGTGATTCCATCTCATTTAAAATCTTTGTTTCAGAAGTGTGTTGAAGGGAGCCGTCTCTAGCTTAAAGTAACATAGGCATTTCCATACCATTCCAAGGTGCTGGAAGTAATGCTGTGCACACTCAGCCACAACTGAAAGTGTGTTCGCTAGAAAGGATTTTGGAATTTCTTAATATTTGCATAAATGCCTGTATGATTATCATTTATTTTTGTCTCAAGGGAACTCAAAGGCATTGTGAATTTCATTCAAATGCTGAACTCTCTGAGAGTGAGACAAAGACTGTAACTAGTTTGTTGAGCTGGATGAAGCTATAGTGCCACTGAAGTAATATCTGCATAGGTTTTACTAAGACCAGTTTGCTAGATTGAGATTTGTCTGTTTTCACTTTAGAGGTCCACATCTGAACTAGTCATTCTGGTATCCTTTCATGGTGAAAGAAGGAACTGGACAACTCTAGCTGTTCAGTTTAGAAGCAGAGCTTTAAAGTTAAACAAGATGAATTTTATGCTGTTTACCTGTTGGCTCAATAGAGCTTTCATCAAATGTTTTTATGTCCTTGTCAATACATGAAAAGCAAGCATGTTGGATTTTGCTCCTACTCCCTATGTTGACATAGTAACAGGAGAGACCTTAAATCTATCTGGTGAAGGTTTGTTAACATAACAACTCCGTGTTGCATTTTTTCCAGTCATGTTTATTGAACAAAATGCTCTTGAAATGCCCAAAGATGCTCTTCTCAAGCAGCAGCTGTGGAATTGGGCCAGGGTGGACTTTTCATATCCCAGATGGGATGTAGTAGGACTACTATTTAAGGCTAAATAGTAAATAAGATTTAGCAGAAGGTGGAATGAGCTGGGATACAGCTGCTGCATCACAAAACTGAATTGTTCTCAGTTGACTGCTTGTAACTTCTTTTGCCGACTGAATTGCAGCTAAGGGAGTTGGAGTAGGAGAAAGAACATTTCTTTGGGGAGGGGGGTGAGGACAGAAAGAAAAGATAACGTTATCAAAGATGGTCTTCTCTGGGACCTTCTCACTCTGAAGCGTGTATTTGTGATGCACTTGGGTTGGGGCTTCCACTAAGATGCTAGAATATAATAAAAGTGATGGGTGACACAGTGAGAAATGAAATGCCTGCTCTTTGTTTTATTAAACAGGTGCAGTGCCATACCTACACTGGATACTGCTGGTGTGTGACACCTGATGGCAAGCCTATTAGCGGCTCTTCTGTACAGAACAAAACTCCTGTATGTTCAGGTACTGTGGGAGTGGCTTCAACAAAGGCTAATTTGAGAAGTAAAGGGGTTGGGGAGAATGCATCCTGTTGAGAGTACTTAATCTTTCCAGGTGACTTGGTCACTTTAGCCAATTTAACACTGCAGTTATGCTTTTATCTCCCTATGTGCTTGCTGGCATTTGGAAGCTGCAAGGGAGTTTGGGCTATGGCAGGTCCACCCTGCAGTTAGGATACAGACACTCCTGCAAGGTTCACCTAGAAAAAACGCTAAGGCACTAAGGAAACAGCCTGTGGTAGCCAAGGCAAGAGTTGCAGTGTTGTTGTGTATACCATAACCAGCGATTCCTGTAACAGAATAACTTTTTTGCATGAGCTGTATTTAAAGAAGTGGTTCTTGAGCTCTGTTTTTTGGTGGACCATGAGGTCACTTTGCCTTCAGAGTGACTTCAGTTAAAAGTTTGATATGGCAGTTCTTGAGAAACTGGTGGTTGTTGACTACTAGCCACCAAATCTGGGGTCCTGCTGTTATGACGGATTTGGGTCTTCTGGTCATGTCACTCAGTTCCAGTTCTTAGTTCCTAGATTTTCATGTGGCCCTGAACACTAGCGTACAGTCTAGCTTTGTGAGCTGTGGTCAACAGAGCTGCTGTGGCAGTGGTGTGCTAGGCATAGGGAGAGCTGTGAAGCTGTTCCATACTGCAAGAATTCAGGGGCAACACTAGACTTGTGCTTTCCCCTTCACACCCACTTCCCAAAGAAGAAGAAAGAAAAGATAGCAAGCAAAGGAGTGTGTTTCTGACATGTTCAGGGATGTCATGCAGGCACTGCAGCTGCCTCTGGCTTCATGCTCTGCAGTCTACACCCCATGGGTGTTTAATGTATTTGTCCTCTCACACCTTACAGTGTTTGCCCTTTAGATAGGAGCATGACAGCAGTCAAACCTTTGGGTTTTTTTTTAATCCTCCGCATCTTATTCAGTGTCCTCTTTGGCTGTAGGATGTTTTGTGGTAATAAGCAAAAAAGTGACTTGCATGAGGGCTTGAGCTGAGTGGGAGAACTGTCTGGGAGCCAATGACTCAATGTAGCTTGAGGGGATGCTTGCTGTTGCACAGGTACATGGAAAGAAAGTAAAATTAATATCCTGTTTTAGTGTAAAATGAAATGCTATAGTAATTTGGCTTAAATGTTAAAATATTACTTTCTTCCACCATTCCCATGTATGGTTTTGGTAGGGCATGTTTTAGTCTTGCTTATCTGTTCATTTAGTCTTGAGCTGTTTATAAAATTGTGTTGCCAGGAAAGTAAAGTCATAGTGTTTTGTAGGACACACAGATGTTAAGCTCATGATGACTGATACTGGGTATGTGCTTCCTACTTGTAATCCAGCAGTAGATTGGTGATGAACTGATCTGCAAGTGAAAGTGCTTGGGCAATACAGTTTACATTAGAGTTTGTCTTGACCAGTCTCTTGGGCCTGTCAGAGCTGCCTCCTTTGGAGATGACTTGTGATCCATGTTTCTGGAAGGATCAGTAATTACTGGAACTGTTTAGTAATGCTGCCTAGAAGAATCAGTTTCTTGGAAATAAAGCTATTCTAAAAAAAAGAGGGGGGAAGAAAAGAACTTGTAATAGATTTTTACACTTTGGTAATGGATTTGTTAAAAAAGCTTTTATTATTAGTTCAATTTTTAGTGGAAAACTGTGTTCTGAAGCACTAAAGCAAACTGCAGAAAACTGTAGAATCATATGTATTAAGTAAAGATCTAAGTTATATTAAAAACCCCAGGATGTGGTCTATTCAAGTACATGCTGGATCTTACTCAGTGTCCCTTTTCAAATAGCTGGGGATGTTGAAATTCATTTTCTGCAAATTGTCCCACTTAATCCCTTCCCTTTAGAATACTGGCCTTGCTTTCCCTGCACACTCTCCCCACCTGTTTTTGATTTGCTCTTCCTGACATTTGCTTGCAGACCTAAGAAGTGACTCTTACTGATCTTTCCTACTTGCCCTTGGATTTATTCCAGGTTTCTTGATAGCATGCTAGTGCTCTGTTGAGCTCTTTCAAATCACTGGGTGTAGCTATTAAAGATTTCTTGTTTACCTTTGTCCTGATTTAATATCTCAACACACAAAACTTCCTTATGCTGTCCCAGTTTGTTGGAGCAACAGGCTCTCTGAATCCCAAACTGAGCTGTTGGCAAGTAAAACAGATGCTCTGTGGGTTGAGATGCTGATTGTGTTAATGTGACATTACACGTTCTGTGTGAACATGCAGCATCTAAATGTCTTTTTTTCTTCTTTTCCCTCCCCTTTAGGTTCTGTAACTGATAAACCATCAAGCCAGGGTAATTCTGGGAGGAAAGGTGAGTGGAGTCCTGTGCTTCAGCAACTTGTTTTGTAGTAGCTGCTGCCCTGCCAAGTCCCGTTGAGATAACTCAGAACCTGGGTTCCTAACTAGCTTGGTGTGTGGGAGGCTTTCATGCCTGTGGACCTCTACCTTCAGTAGGAGGAACAAAATAACAGTCTGTTGGTGCACCATCCCATGGAGTAGAAAATGCTGTGCTCTGCTCCTCAGCTGAGACATAGTACATGAAAACAGAGCTTCCCAAAAAAAGCATCTGGCACAGAATAACCTCTTGTTCACCTTGACGTTAACTACGGAGGATTTCAAGTAAAATCCCTAGTGATTAGGAAGGCTATCAATATGACTAGTATACTGGGAGTCAGGAGTGTCAATGTCATGATTGTGGCTTTATATGAGTTGAAAGTGTTGGGTCGTTTCATTTTCTTTTTCACAGAACATCAAACTCTCTGGCCAGATGTGCTGGATTAAACCCTAGCTATGCTTGGAAACCTCACTCTTTTGTGCATTAGACATTAGTCCTCCTTTACAGTCCTTGCCTTTCCTGAGTGAGGCATTTAGGTGTGTCATTGTTCTTCTCCTGTGTGTAGTTGAAGCCCTTCTCTGTGTCTCTGGTGTGTATTCACTGAAATAGCCTTGGGTGGGAAGAGTACATTGAGGGGCAGTCAAATTTGTCTGTAGGCCTTCTTCACACCATGATTTTTTTCAACCCTTCTCCCCTCTACCCCCACCATTCAGAGTCAACTTTTGAGTTTGTCTCTTTACTACAGGAAAAACAGTGCTGAATGCATCCTTACTCCTGCTGGTGAGGATGAAGGCTGTTTCCTGGGGAAAGCTCCTGTTTTAATATCTGAAGTGGAATTTTTAGTGCTAATTCTTTAAACCAATCATTCCTGATACTTCAAAACACAGGAAAATGCCTACCTCAATGACAGTGCTTTAATTTGAAGACTGCTTTAATTTGGGACTGTCAATACAGTCGTGTGAACACTTAACAGGGATTGTAGATTGCTATGTTCAGAGCAGTGAACATGATCAAAAAGCATTTTGAGAATATCTGTTCTCCAGTATATTGCTTGTGTATTGCAGCTTAGGAAGAAGTGGGGAGGAAAAGATGCAAAGAAAACTACTTAGTTAATACTGAATGCTGAAGCCTGCTTCTTATTTTAGATAAGGATATGTCTCTGTAAACCTGTAATTGCATGTTAATGTATAATTGGCACCTGAATGCATTGTTATCATTCTGTTAATGCTAGTCTAGCCCGAAGTACAAGCAAATCAAGTAGCTCTTGAAATCTGAATTATTTTTGGCTGGGGATTGTTTGTAGGCTTCCTACCTGAGTAGTCCTGGTCTGTTCTTTTAGAATTGGAAGCAGCTGACATTGGATTTCAAAGGAAACAGGAGCAAAAGGGGAAAACATCTGAACCTGTTTTTTCCACTTCACTCCCTTTATTAACTCAGAAGTTGGAACATGCAAAAAAGAAAGAACTGTAAATGGAATGAGTTAATCTAAAATTTGCAATATACATCGATTCTCCTTGGTGCTGCTTGTGGCATCCTGTTTCAAGAATGGTATGTTTAGTCAGGTGATTGCAAAAACATCCTGTCAAGAAAAAGAAAATGATTCTTTTTGGGCCAGCATGCTTCAAGCAATCGTGTACATTTTCTATTCCCTCCAGCTCTGAATCTGTTCATATCTATTGAAAGCCACTTTGGCTTTTCTCCATCAAGTTAGAAAAATACTTGTGAGCAATCATTAAATAGGTCTTTTAAAATCAAGAGGATTTGGGGAGCTGAAATAATGTGGTTTAAAACTTGATGGACTTAGCGTTACTTTTGGGGCTAGTGATGAATACCTAATTAAAAATTCATCTGTATTTCTTGTCAGTGTGTTTTCTTGACTTATATTACTTTGATTCAAAATTCCAGCATCAGATCCTATTGTAAGGAAGTTGGGACCAAGAACAGGCTGCCTTCCTTGAAGCAAGGTGCTTGCTGGAGGTCTGACTTCTCTGAAGGCCTGTAGCTAGCCTGTGTGCATATAACCATCCATTCCAACTGAGTGTTCAGGCTCTTTCTGTAAAGATTGCCCTTTGCAAGATGACAGGGCAGGGTGAGGAGGCGTCCAGCAGGAACAGAGTCAGTGATGACATTCCTGTTGCAGAGGCACATCTTTGAAATTTCTGACATCACTTTGGGCAACTGCTACCTGAATCAGGAGCTTTTGGACTTCTCCCCCCGCTCCACACACTCCTCTCTCCATCCCTGGGTAAGGGTCTCTGTGAGTGGAAGAGCGTATTGTCTGGCACACAGTAGGCCCTTTTGGGAGGAAACAATAGCTGAGGCTCTCAAAAGTGTTTTCTTTTGTCTCATTCTTACAGGAATGTAAAATATGGAGCTAATAAACTTTGTGTGATGCTGGTGCCTTTCAGGTCTTCAAGGCAAAGTAGTCTTTCTGGATAGAGGCTTCTCTGCCTTAGAAACTGCAGATGACTAGGGTTAAGCTGTTGGGTAATAAATGAAGACTTAATTAACATGAGCTCTTTTTTAGAAGAAACAAAACGATGTTGGAAGGAGAAGAAGGCTGGGTATTGGTAATAACCCTTTCTCCAAATGTTTTGGCCTCTCTCCTGTTTAGCCCTAATTTCTGGGAGTCAGTAGGTGTGATGGACTCGCCAGAAGATGTGATTCCCCTCACAGGCTCTCTCACTACTGATGAAAAGAAAATGAAATGGCTTTATGATCACGTGGCTTGGCTTGTAGTTCCAGAAGTGGTTCTGTGGAGCCTTCTGCAGAGAGCAGACAAGAGTGCTGGCAAGAAATCCTTTTTATTTTTAAATCCCATGCTCTGGTTACCCATGTTTACATTGCTGCTATTGCTGTATGATGCAATGCCAGTTATTCATACAATTTGCCCTGTAAGGTAATTTAAATCCAATTAACTTGGCACCAAACTTAAAACTTTAAAATAGTATGTATTGATTTGTTCTGTGGCTGAGAAGTGCTCTGTTGCTGGAAGGCAGAGACCTGAGTCTACAGAGATGGAAGAATGTTTGTTATGAGGCAGAATAGAAACCTAGGTTCTCCAGGACAAGCTTGGTGTGTGGACTTTACAGCTCAGACAATTACCATTGTTCTTCCTATGCTGAATTCAGCTTGCAAGTGAAGAACAAGTTTCCAAGCCCTTTGTCGTGGAATGCAGTTATTCTTGGGTGGGATTAGGATATCCAGAACCTGCAGATTTCTTTTGCTGTCTCTTCTTTATTTCAGCTTGTTCCTTATACAGTCTTTTCTTGTAAGGAGCTTTTTGCTCTAATTTACTCCATTTGCTGCTTCATTTGGAAGGCCTCAGAGACTTCGAAGATGCATGCTAGCCCCTAGAGGGGTGGATCTCATCTCCCCCCTCTTTCCCACTGGGAGGTTCTTCATGTTTTAAGAAGCGGTGAAAGGCATCCTTGGAGCCAATGGCCCTGGATTTCTTCGCTGCCTAAAGAATGTAGACCGTTCTTTCTGGCAAAGGGAAATTGTGCCACACATTTGAAACAAAACAAGCAAACATAGAACAAAACAAAGCTTTCTTAATCTGAGGAATGCTGGGGCTTTAGTATCTCAAAGCTGCAAATTTGGCATACTGCAGCCGTGAGTATTGACTTTCACAGTCATCAAGCAGGTTTTAATAAGTAGGCTGGTCAGGAGATAGAGGGATGTAAAAAGCAACCATGTCACTGTTTATCTCCAATAAGCTTAAAGTCACTTGATCTTCCTTCTTAAAATCAGAGCGAAATAAAAGTAGCGAAATTGGCTATGGGTGAAGAGGAAAAAAGAAATCTAGGTTGTGATACTGATTTGTTAGTGGTTGTTAACTGTGCTGGATGTTGTGCAAGATGCTGATACTATATTTTAATCAACTGAATGAAGGAAATGGGAAGGAAGGCTTGATTTTATAATCTGGCATTAAAAGATGATGGAAGTACAGGGTAAATATGGGCCCAGTAAGTCAGTGTCAGTCATGAAGAGTACTGAATGGTATGAACTCCCTTTTTCTTTCACTTTCATAAAGTCTCTTGCAATGCATTAAATTAATGCATTAATTAATGCATTAAGTCCATGGGTCCTGATGAAATCCATCCGCGAGTCCTGAAGGAGCTGGCAAATGAAGTTGCTAAGCCGCTGGCCGTCATATTTGAAAAATCATGGCAGTCAGGTGAAGTTCCCGACAACTGGAAAAAGGGAAATATAACCCCCATTTTTAAGAAGGGGAAAATGGATGACCCGGGGAATTACAGACCAGTCAGTCTCACCTCTGTGCCTGGCAAAATCTTGGAGCAGATTCTCCTGGAAGCATGCTAAGGCACATGAAAAACAACAAGGTGCTTGGTGACAGCCAGCATGGCTTCACTAAGGGGAAATCCTGCCTGACCAGTTTGGTGGCCTTCTGTGATGGGGCTACAGAACTGATGGACAGGGGTAGAGCAGTTGATGTCATCTACCTGGATTTGTGTAAAGCGTTCGACACTGTCCCACATGACATCCTCGTCTCTAAATTGGAGAGACATCAATTTGATGGATGAATCACTCGGTGGATAAAGAACTGGCTGGATGGCTGCATGCAAAGAGTTGTGGTCAATGGCTCAATGTCCGGCTGGAGACCAGTAACGAGTGGTGTCCCTCAGGGATCGGCGTTGGGACCGGTCTTGTTCAACATCTTCGTCGCTGACATGGACAGTGGGATTGAGTGCGCCCTCAGCAAGTTTGCCGATGACACCAAGCTGTGTGGTTTGGTTGATACGCTGGAGGGAAGGAATGCCATCCAGAGGGACCTTGACACGCTTGTGAGGTGGGCTGATGCCAACCTCATGAAGTTTAACCATGCCAAGTGCAAGGTCCTACACCTGGGTCGGAGCAATCCCAGGCACAGCTACAGGCTGGGCAGAGAAGAGATTCAGAGCAGCCCTGAGGAGAAGGACTTGGGGGTGTTGGTCGATAAGAAAATGAACATG